GTTTTCTAAGCGAACGAACGCAAAGAGTAGTTCTTAGCGCAATCAGCTCTAAATGGAAAAACGCATTAAGTGGAGTTTCCACAAGGATCAGTTATTGGAGCCTCTTTTATTTGTCATCTAAATAAATGATTTAAAACATGAGATAATCATGGCAAATTATATGCAGACGACACAAAAATTATTTCAGTCCTTAAAACAGTCAAAGACAGTCGAACGAGCAAGACTGGATATTGGAGCAAAAAATGGCTGATAAACTTCAATAAAGAAAAATGCAAAAAAAATGCATATCGTTAAAAGAAATTTGAACTGCAAATATTTTATGAGCAGTAAACTTGATATGATTCACCAAAATGTTACAGTTATAAAGAAACTATGTTAAAGATTTTGGTGTTATGATATCGAACGACATCAAATGGGAAAGACATATCAACACAATTGCAGCAAGAGCTAATAGAAAGTTTGGTCAGATAAAAAAATCCTTTTGTTGATTAGATGAAATTACAATGAAATTATTGTACATGTAGCTGGTTCTTCAACACTTTGAGTTTGCAACGCCTGTAGGAAACCATTATCACCAAAAGGACATTGACAAACTTGAAAAAATAAAATGTAGGGCAACACGAATAACTAATTTAAAGAGTGTTTGCTATGAAGATAGACTGAAAAGATTTAACTTGACTACTTTAAAAACAACAAGAACAAGAGGTGATATGATTTAATACTATAAAATAAGTAAAAATATGGATAAATTTCAATGGAATCATCCTCCTAGAATAATTAAATATGCAATAACAAGAGGTCACAGAAAATACAAAAACAACATATTCTATCATCAGATTTAACTTCTTCAAAAACAGAATAGTTAACAATGGAATAATTTAAAAGAAGTGATAATCAATTCTGACTATGTAAATATCTTCAAGAACAAGTTTGATCATTTTTAAAAAAAAATATATATAAAATAGAAACAATGAAAAATGTCAAAGTTTTAACATCTACAGGTGTTAGACTCACTCAATTACATGGTATGTGTACAGCAAAAAATTTATTATTTCTTATATTATTATTATTATTATTATTATTATTATTATTATTATTATTATTATTATTATTATTATTACTATTATTATTATTAATCATTTAGCTATTTTTTTAAAAAGCCTAAACCATACCAAGCATTAAATTAATGAGCGAATATATATATATATATATATATATATATATATATATATATATATATATATATATATATATATATATATTTAGGTAATTAGCTTTGTATGAAACATCACCAATGTTGACTTGAAATCTACATCAGCATCAGCACTATATAGACATTTGCAACATTTAGTACAGCTTAAAAATTCAAAAAAAATTTTTTTTAGAAAGACTATCTGGATCTAAGTTGGCATTTTAAAACTTAAACTGTGCAAATATTATATTATTATACAAAATATATATTACACTTAAATGCACTAAAGTAAGTGTGTTTGCATATATATAAACATGCCAATATCTTTGCATACTAGGCTAAAAATTTGTTAAAAGAAGTCTAAATGTACTTGCATAATTTAGAGGATTCAGGCTGTTATAATAAATTTTGCTAACTTTTGTAATACCAACTTTAAGCAGTTTACTAGACAAATAAGAAAAAAAAGAAAACTAATGAAAATATATATATATATATATTTCTGTAGTAAATGACATTCATACCCATATTGTACTTAACCAACACTCTTAGCCAATATATGTAGTGAACTCTCCTTAAGTCAATATATGTAGTTAACTTAAGTCGATATATGTAGTGTCTATTTCAATATGACATCCTCAATGACATTTTATGAAAGATGAGCAAACATATTTTTACATGCACACAAAAAATATTTTATTAATACAGATAATATATAAAATTTTAACTATAAACTTACCAACAACAGTAAAAAAGATATTTGATTTGGTCCCAGCATTTCTTCGGCTTCCAGTGTTAACTATTATTTGATAAAGGTAATTGTCTTCAGCTTGATTATCAAGGAGTGGACAAACACCAATCTATAATAAATATATTTAAAATTAAATTTGTATTTTAGTTAGAGCTTTTTAAAAATAATCAGCTGTTTACTTACGACCTGTTGTTAGCTTTTTGTCATACAGACCGTCATACAGACCATGCTCTGCTCAGAAAAGGTAGAAGAAAGAAAGAACAGATTAGAGTTAATTGTGAAAATCAGCAGCCCGGGTGAGCTAGATAACTCCAGAAATAAAACCTGATGCAGCAATACTTATACAGCTAATCAACTGGACTATCTGCTATGAGACTATTCTTACTTGTGATCTGGCAACAGAAGAAGTAAAATAGATTATATTTCAGCCTATGAATGTTCCAATTTGGCCTTGTCATGGGCAGTCAATTGAAAGACGAGTTAAACAGGTATGGTTGTTGAATGAAAAATGGGATGGTTTTGTATGAGTATTTATTGAGACAGTTTATGTCTACTAATTTTTCAAAGAAAGATTTGATTTTAATAACAAAATAAAAAATATATAAATTTTATTTTTTTAAAAAATTATAATAAAAAGAATTCTTATTTTATTAAATAGATAACTAAATGATAGATAAATGATTATAAATAGAAACTATTATAAAAGTTTTAATAATATTAGATAAAAAAGTTAAAAATATACAACCACAAGCAAAAATTTATTTTAAGAAATTTTTAATCATGTTGGATTTTTTAATCTAACCTTAATCATGTTGGATTTTTTAATCTAACCTTAATCATGTTGGACTTTTTAATCTAACCTTAATCATGTTGGATTTTTTAATCTAACCTTAATCATGTTGGATTTTTTAATCTAACCTTAATCATGTTAGATTTTTCATTTTAACCTTTTTTTAGTAATATTAGATAAAAATTCAAGTTTTTAGAATCAATCTTGGATTTAGTTTTCAATCCGGAAGAAAAAAAATAGTATGACACACCCTGATGTAGCAGAGACAATATTCAAAAAAACACACCAAAAAATAATAGTCAGTCTTAAGATTGTAGTAAAAAAAAAAAAAAAGAATTTGATGTAGTGGAGGTACATGAAAATTTTTTACTAAGATCATTGCTCTAAACCACTTTAAAAAAAAAAGGAAAAACAGAACGTAAACTTAGGTCAGAGACACAAATCAAGGAGTTAAGGTATGAGATGTTAGAAAAACACAAAGTATCTGAGTAAGAAATTAGAAATGACAAAACCTTTGAGCTTTAGTACCATCATGGTCAGTAGTGCCAAGCCACTAAATGTAATTAGTAAGTCATTTTTAACAACATTAGTTTAGCAGTCTTAAAAAACTTCCCTCAAATACCATAATAAATTTTTATTTCATTTAACAAATCACAAATTTTATTTCATTTAACTAAATCAAAACACATTTTATTTAACTAAATCAAAACATTTCTAATTAAAATATTTTTAACTCTTCTAAACATATGTATAATATGTATAAAAGCTCTTCAAAAAATCCGATTTAAAAATTTCAAGCTAAAATTTGAAGTTTTGATCATAAGTTTAAAACTCTACCAAAAATTCATCAATTTAATGAGTCATCAGGTATTTTTGCTCAACCAATTTTATTTTAATTGTGAATAACAAAACATGTAAAAAATTAATTCAGACACAAATGTGTCAAACTATTACTTAGCAGTCAGAGCCCACTGCTCATTTCTTTGTTAATATGCTATCAATAACTTTTTCTGATATTATTCTAAACAAAAAATAGAACAAAAACAAATTTAACCTTTGAAACATCTTTTTTATCCATTTTTCTGGTAAATATTAAACCAATTATCCAGAGAAGAATAATGACTGCCACAGTAACAAAAAGAACGTAGCCAGCTTTGAACATTGCAAAAGTTGGCGTTGGTATTGTGTTAGGGGCAACAAAAAATCCACCAAAAGCTGTTAGATGGTTACATTTACATTTTGTTACCAAAAATGATGAGGTTTCAACATCATACTAAAAATTTGACAAATTAAGTTAAAAAAATAAAAGTAAAATTTTTTTTTTTTAATTTTTCAAATCTTAAAAAAAATATTGAAAATTTTTAAACAAAATATTTAAAAAGATTATAAAAACTATTTAACAACTTCGCGGTCTGCGAAGCAACTTTCCGTCAGTTGAGTCTTACCTCCTGCAAAATTCACCAGACTTGCTTGCACTCAGTGAAACAAATTTAAATTCTGCAATTCCTTCTTCAGATGTCAGTGTTGATGGGTACTATCCTTTGATTCGTAAAGACTCCAATAGTCACATGCTAGGTTTAGGGGTATACATACGCATAAATTCCCCTATTTGTCGTGAAATCAGGTTCGAATCCTTTGACCATTCTTTTATGTGCTTTTGCCTAGCATCTCTTCACTCTATCACCTTTCTCTTTACTCTTTATCGTTCTCCTTCTTCCCATGATTGCACTCTTTTAGATGTTATTAGATACTATCTCTGATCAAATTGACCATGCCCTCTCTTTTTACCCCTCTGCCAATATTGTTGTTGGTGGTGATTTTAATGCCCATCAAACTGAATGGCTTGGCTCTAACACCACTGATCCTGCTGGCACTAAAGCCTTTAACTTCTGCATTTCTCAATCTCTTACTCAGATAGTTAACTTTGTGACTCGTTTTCTTGACAACCCTAATCATTTACCTTCACTCCTTGACTTGTGTCTTGTCTCTGACCCTAGCTTGTGTTCAGTTTCTCCTTTTTCTACCTTGGGTGGTTCTGACCATGCAATGATCTCTATAAATCTTTCTTCTAGCACTTCTTTTTTGGGCTCACCTTATCATCGCACCACCTACTACTATCCTAAAGCTGACTGGGATTCTTTTCGTGATTTTCTTCGTGATGGTCCTTGGGCTGATGTTTTTTTTCTCTCAGCTGATAAATGTGCCTCCTACGTAACCTCCTGGATTCAGGCTGGAATGGAAGCATTTATTCCTTCTCGCCGCTTTCAAGTCAAGCCTCATACTACTCCATGGTTTTCTTCTTCTTGTGCGGCTGCTATATCCAATCGTAATCCTTTTTTTCATCTTTTTTAAAAGAACAACTCTCTTGAAAACAAACGGCTATTTATTATTGCAAGAAATCGATGTAAAAAGTTGCTTTCTGATGCTAAACTCCATTATTCTCAGTTCACTAAATCTCGCATCTTATCACAGAAGTTAGGCTCTAAAGACTTTTGGAAAATCTTCAACAGCATTATTAACAAGGGTAGATCTAACATCTCTCATTCATGGGACTGATCTTATTACCTCTCCCACGGATAAGGCAGAACTATTTGCAAAGAACTTTTCTTCTAATTCCACTCTTGAATCTTATGGACATTCTCTTCCTTCCATTCCAGTCAAACAGGTTGACCCATTGTTAGACATTCAAATGACTACAGCTTCTGTTGCTAAAGTCATATCTCAATTAAACTCGTCTACAGCTCGTGATCCAGACAACATTCCTGTCACAGTCTTGCAGAATTGTTCTCCAGAATTTTCTTCAATTCTCTCTAAACTATTTAACAAGTGTTTAACTGAGTCTTGTTTTCCTGCTTGTTGGAAAATGGCATTTGTGGTTCCAATATTCAAAAACTCTGGAGAAAATTCTGCCCACTCCAATTATCGTCCGATCAGTCTTCTTTCTGTTATTAGCAAGGTCTTTAAGTCTTTGATCAACAAATTCCTCACATCTCATCTTGAGTCAAATAAACTACTGTCAGCCAATCGATACGGTTTTTGATCCTCTCGCTCTACGGCCGACTTGCTAACTGCTGTAACTGAAAGATTTTATCATGCATTAGACGGAGGCGGTGAGGCTAGGGCTATTGCTCTCGACATATCTAAAGCTTACGATAAAGTTTGGCATGCTGGTCTTCTCCATAAGCTTGCTTCATATGGTGTTTCTGGGAAAGTTTTTGAGATTATCAAATCATTTCTTTCTAACCGGTTTATTAAAGTCATCCTTGAAGGCCAACATTCTTCTATATTTCCAGTAACTTCTGGGGTTCCCCAAGGTTCCATCCTGGGCCCTGTTTTGTTTCTTATCTACATAAACGATCTTCCTGACAACCTTTCATCTAAAGTAGCTCTTTTTGCTGATGATCAACTTTATACTCCTGTCTTGACAAAAAGTCTTCTTTTTTCAATTGCCTAGAACAAGCAGCTGATCTTGAATCCGATCTCACTTCAATAATAGATTGGGTTCACAGTGGCTTGTGAATTTCTCTAACAAAACCCAGTTGTTCACTGCAAACAACTACCGTAATATGGTCAACATTCCTATAATAATGAATGACAATCCTCTTACTGAGTCCTCCTCTTTACGTCTTCTTGGATTATCGCTTACTACTGACCTTTCATGGAAACCATATATACAATCGATTGCTAAATTAGCTTCTGCTAAGGTTGCTTCTCTTTATCCTGCTTGCCATTTCCTTCTTCGTTTACTTCTGATTCCATTCTCTACCTTTACAAATCTCTTATTCTTCCCTGTATGGAATACTGTTGTCATATTTGGGCTGCTTCTTCTAACGATTCACTTTCTCTTCTTGACAAGGTCCAAAAACGCATTGTAAATGTTGTTGGACCTGGACTATCTGCTAAGCTTGAACCTCTTTCCCATCGTTGTAAAGTTGCATCTCTTTCTCTTTTCTACAATTACTATCATAGTCACTGCTCAAAGGAGTTATCATCTCTAGTTCCATTAACTAAAATTCATTCTCGTTTTACTCATCATTCAGCTAAGTCTCATTCGTTTACTGTATCTGTCCCTGCATGCTCTAAAAACTTTTATTCATCTAGTTTTTTTCCCTGCACTTCAATCCTTTGGAACTCTCTCCCATGTTTCTTTCATGTTTCTCCCATCTTCATGTTTTCCTTACTCATACAACCTTCAACTTTTCAAGTTTTCTGTCAACCGTTTCCTTGCTCTATAACTCTGTTATTTTTTTCCTAGTTACTCCCAACTTAATAGTGGTTGCTTGCAGCCTTGTTGGGAGTGAATGCAAATAAAAAAGTAAAAAAAACAAAAAAAAAAACAAAAAATTTGTTGCAAAATAACACATGCTTAACATAATATTTAACAATTAATTAACATAATATTTATAAATAACAATTAATTAACATAATTAATTAAGATTTAATAAACATAAATAACAATTAATTAACATAATATTTAAAAAACAAAAAACAAAAAAATTTAAAAAATCTAAAATGAAAACAAATATACCACAAAAATATTTTTTATTATATTTATACATTTATTTTTGTTTACCATCATATCTGTGATTTGTAACTTTAAAGGCAGATGGTAAGTATATAAGCTAATTGTGCAAATAAACTTACTTTTTTTTTTAATTATTCCTAATTTTAGTTTAGTTTGTTATTTAAATTGACAAAAGTTTTTTTAAAAAGCATTTATCAAGTTTTTTTTTTAATAAAATTCATAAATCAATAAAAAAAAATTTTTCAAGTTTTTCCAAATTTTCTTTTAATTTGTGAAAAACTTGTTGAATGTTTTGGAAAAGTAAAGAACAGATAGTTTTTTAAGACTCAAAATTTAGGAATTAAAAAAAAAAAAAAAAACATAAATTAATGTCGATTTAAATTAATTTGTTTTGTTTCTTATTTTGTTAAACATTATTCTTAATATTTATATAAACTTTCTATTAACATTAACTGTAGAAATGTTAAAAACACTGGCAGTTTTTAGATTCATTTTCATTTCACTTTTTAAATAACGGAAAGACATTTATTAACAACCCATTGTTTGTAAGTAGAGGAATTAAGCAATTTGAAAAATAATATAGAGACCACTTACTGCTAACAGCTAAACGGAATCATAACTGTGAATGGAATTATAACCATGAATGGCATCATAAGTATATTTACAATATTTTAATAACTTAATCATTTTCAAAATGTTCTTATAAAAAAATACAATATATATACAAATCAAATACTTGTTTAGCACATTTATGCAAGCTTTAATTGATAGGATCTTCTTCTTTTACAAATGTTTACAAAATTTATTACTTAATATTTTGACATCTCTATTATCTAATTTATTCAGATTAGTTTTTAATAGTTTTGCAGAACTAAGTAGTTAGTACATATTATTTTGTAGTTTCACAGAATCAAGTGGTTAGTACTTATTATTTACAACAACAAAAAAAAGATCTCGATTTAACTCGATTTTGTTAAACTTCATTACTCCATAGTATATTTTAATTTCTTTAAATTCTTTTACACCTAAATTTAACATTTTTAAACAGTGAAAATTAACACAGTATACTGAAAATGATAGAACAGCAATAGAAGGTATCATATATACGCCACAAAACTATTTATTTTCTGAAAGATAATTAAATTTACCTTATATCTTGAGAAAAAAAATATAAATGATACACATTATATGACATTAAATATAAAACATGTAAAATCATAATTTATATAATATTGAAAAATAAAATATTTAAAATCATGTTTTATATAACATTGCATTACATATATTGTTTTGTGCATTTAGTCACCATTGTTAAACAAAAACAAACTTTTGAATGTACTGATAATAATTTTGAATACTGATTAAAAGCAACTCACAAAAATTGAAATTTTTAAAATTCAAAGTTTAAAAACTTAAATTTTAATAGTTTTTTATTTTATTATGTAGAAACCAAGTTTTATACATAAATGTATTTTAAAAAAAGTTGACCATGTTAAAGGTGGTAGAGTTTAGTACTTAATGGGCTGTAAAGTACTTTTTAATGGATATGTTAAATTTGCTATGGGTGGTAAATTTTACATTGTTATGGGTAGCAGATGATGATAATGCAATGCATTCAATATCTGGTTTCCAGGATAGGAAAGTTGATAATTTTAAACTTGTTTATAATAAAACTTATTTTTTAAAAATTAACAAAATCTATCAAAAAAATTGTTATGGGTGGTAAATACGTTGATAAATTTACTTTAAAAAAATTTTGTTAAATAATATTGACATTAGTGTTGTTGTTTTTTTCTCTCTAAATATTTGTAACAATCTCTAGGAACTGTTACAAAATGTTACACTATTTGTTTGGTAACAATCTCTTAGAATTGTTAAAAAATGTTACACTGTTTGGAAACAATCTCTTAAAATTGTTACAAAATGTTACACTATTTATACTTTTAAATTTTTTGTTAAATAATATAGTTATGATTCAATTTAATTTATAAACATCCAATAAATAAAAAACACCCAAATAGTTTATGAAATAAAAACAAATTGTTAATCATTGTACCTGACATCCATCAGACATCCATTTGTTCACATCTTCATTCCAGTAGTTACATTCAGCACAAAATGATTTCATTTCATAGTCAAATGTTCCGATAGACTCTGGTTCATCAAAAGTATATGGATTCACATCAACTTTTTTATTAGGTATTGGACCAACATATGAAAATGATAAATGCAATTCACTTTTGTTACGGAAAGAGTAGGTAGAATTCAAAAAGTTCCATAACATTAATGTGCCATCACTAAGAAGACGAACATCTTGATTTCTTAGTAAAACACTAGAAAAATTGCTTTCAACATTGCTTGATGTATTTGTTATATTTGAATTAAAAACAGTTAAATTATTTTTTGTCATAATAACACCTTGTCTTGCAGAAATATTCAGAACAATATCATAATCTAGTTTTGATGCAACTTTTCCATATTGAATGTAAACAATCAGATTTGTTAAATTATTTTCATCATTTCTAAACAAAAACTTTAGTAGTAAGTTACAATCTAATGCTATTGGTAGCTTGACTTGATAAACATCATTAGGCATTGATAATGATATATTTTTACCAGTCATTTTTTCTGGAAGATTTTTTATTGCAATGTTAATTGGTTGTGAACTGTTACTCACTTTTATTGGACGGCCATTAACATCAGAAATAGAAAGACTTTGAGATTCAGAGAGAATGTTTTGCGATCGATTAGTATCCCATGTGTAAGCCATAACTTTCATTCTAACATTCTTAATAAAATGTAGATAAAAATAGCAAAGAAAATTTATGATTAGTTTTTAAAAAGAATAATAAAAAAAAAATTTATATTAAAAATATTTAAAATTGAATTTTTATATTTTGTTGAATTTTTATGTTGTTTATATTTCTCAAAATACCTAATGTAGACCTAAAACTACGCATAATGTAGACCTAGAACTACAATTATTATACAATATTATATTGTATAATTATCCATATTCTATATAAATATATAATTATAAATCTAACATACATTTCACATACACACACACACACACACACACAAACACACACACTCACTCACTCACTCACTCACACACGCACGCACATATATATATATATATATATATACACCATTAATATATTGATATACACATGCATATGTTAAACTTTAAAAAGGTTAAATACATTAATCAGGACTGGTGAGTTTTGAACAGACTCATTAAACATATCTTTGGAATCTGGAAGAATAAAACCTCCATCTGATGAACCAATTGAACTGTTGCTAAAGCCATTCAAAAAATCTTTTTTTAACATAAAACTAAACTGCTTAGTTTCACCTGCAGTTTGATTCTCACCAGGAACTTTGTATGATTGTGCTGCTATAAAATAGTTTTCCATGGATTTGAATAACTTTGATACCATATTTTTACTGTCCTGTACACAAATAAATTGAAAAGTAAAAATAAAAAACTTTAAATAAAAAGCTATAACAAATTTAAAAAATTAAGACATAAAAAATATTACTTTTATTATATTCAATATTCAATTCAATATTACAATAAAAACTGCTATTTATTACTAATAATACATTTATATATATATATATATATATATATATATATATATATATATATATATATATATATATATATATATATATATATATATATATATATATATATATATATATATATATATATATATATATATATATATATATATATATATATATATATATATATATATATATAAAGATTGCAATACTGGTTAACTATAGTTAAAATAATTTTTTTATACACATTGTTAAAGATTGATAAAATTCCATTGATTGATTAATGATTGGTTAAGTTCCCTCTGAACATTATAAATGATAGATAAAAAATATTTCCATTTGGGCGATTTGCACAATGAAATTTTCATGCTAACACTTATAAAAGCTATAGCGTATGAAAGTGAATTGAGAAAGAATAAACAAAAGAAAGATTTGAAAAAGAATAAACAAGAGAAACTAAATACTTAATTATATGTAATATTTAGTATGTCTAGTAAAATAAATTTATACACAACAACATTGATCTCTTTTTATTATTAAACAATAAAAACATTGTAAATTACATTAATTTAATTCAAAATGACATTAATCAATACAGTCGACTCTCGATATCTCGAGCACTAAGGGGACCGGTTAAAAAAAGTTCGAGAAATCAAGAGTTCAAGATATCAAGAAAAGGGTTGAAAATAAATAAAATTGCCCGACTTTCATTAAAACAAGTTATTTTTCTGACAAAAATCATTAACAACAAAAACTACAATTTTTGGAAAAAATCTGTTATCTGATATTGCTTTAAATTATCCATCTTTTCCATCTTCATTAAATCCTCAAGTTTTAGTGCTAGGGATTGTATTTCATTTCCGTATTTTGAGCTGTATAGCGAAGCATTTTGAATCGTTTCAAAAGCAATTTCTAATTGAATATCAGATAGGTGTGGCGGGGCTTCGACGTCAATAGCTTCGTCAACGCTATTTTCAACTTCATTATCATCGTTTTCAAAATTAGGGTCTAAAATCTGAGCAATGACTTCAGCATGAGTAGCAAGTGAACCGGTGGTTACTACATTGATATCTAAACCAATGTAAGATTCCGCTGAGAGATCTTCTTGGACGGCACGAGGATCTAACTCTCGCAAACAGTTAAGTTCTTCTGTCAAAAATTTAAAAGGATGATCATCATCAGCTTCTTCAATACTATTGTTTGTTTTGCTGATACCAGCTTTTTTAAAGCAGTTGATGACAGTCTCCTTTGACACAGCATTCCACAAAGAAACAAGATCTTTCATTGCTTGAAGTATAGAAATTTTTGGCATGGCTTCGTTATAATCGACAGCCTAGATACACAAACGCACAATTTTGTGACGATAATGAGCTTTAAGACTTCGTATTACGCCTTGATTCATGGGCTGAAGGACAGATGTGGTGTTAGGGGGGAAAAATATTAGGTTGATGTTACTTAGCCCATGTGTGGGTGGGCAGAACAGTTATCCACCAGGAGTGCTATTTTCCTGTTTTGAGCACGAAAAAATGAGCCAAGTTTCAAGGAAGTTGTTTAATGTGCTTAAAACACAGTGGGTTTTTAGATTTTCCAATAACAAACATAGGTAATTTTTCTCCTGTTGCACTCCCTGCTGCTATGCCTGTTAGTCTGACTTTACTATTTTTTCCCCTAAAACATTTTTCTCGTGATAAATGGTATGTTTTGTTTGGTAGGCACTGGTAAAATAGTCTAAACTCATCGGCATTGAAAATGTTTTCAAGTTTGTAATTTAAAAGCAATGTTGGAAGTGTAGTTTCATTCCACGAAGCAGTCATATTATTTGTCACGGTGTCACGGTGGCACATATTATTTGTCACGGTGGCACCTAAGATTACTTTAAAGCTGATGCTGTTCCTAAAAATAGGAACAGAATAATTGAATTTTAATTACACATTTAAAAAACTAAATAAATTAAATATAAACAGATACATGTTATTTGTTTATATTAAAACTGAACAATATTTGTCAAAATTTAACTGACCTTTCTTTCCAATTATGAAATCAACAATCAGATGCTTTAAAATCGAACTCTTCTAATGCTTCTGCGAATTTTAGTGCCTTTTCTTTTAGTATGGTACCATCAATTGGTACTTGTTGACTTTTTTTTGCAACGAACCATGTGTATATGGCCTTGTCTACATTTTTGAAATTACCACTAAGAAGTTTCTTCCGTTTAGATTTTGTGCCATTTTTTTCCAGTGAGGTTAATAACTTGGTTTTATTTTTAATCCAGGTTGATAATGTGTTCTTTGGGACTCCATACTTTTTGGCAACCTCTTTGTTAGACATCCCTGTCTCTAGGTCTTTTAATGCGTTGCATTTTTCTATAATAGATTTGTTCGTGAGTTTTTGTTTAACGAGCGGCATGTTGTTGTGTTTGACAAAAAGAATAAATTAGTATATTAAAGGAAAACTTTTCAGAAATTCGATTCTTAAAAAAAATTGAATTTAAAAATTGAATTTAAAATTTTTTTTTTCGAAAATTGGAATTTAAAAAAAATTAAATTTTATTAAAATATTTTTGAAAAAAAAAATGTTGAAAAGTTCAAGATAACGAGAGAAAATTGCCCTGTGGACCGAAAATATTGTTCGAGATACCAAAAAGTTTAAGATATTAAGGTTCGAGATATCGAGAGGATTTTAGCCTAAACTAGTACGTTATGTCCATGGGACCGCTAAAAAAGTTCGAGATACTCAAAAGTTCGAGATATCAAGTATTCGAGATATCGAGAGTCGACTGTACTTCTAAAATTATTATGTTTTTTTTTGTTTTTTTTACCTTATTGTTATTTTGTATTAATGTGTTTATGATTTAAAATCATGAATAAAAATTCACCAATTTATTATTTTATGCGGGTACTAAGTGCAGGTCAATGCAAGAAATGTTCAAAAACAATTCAAGCTTCTGGCAGCAGTATGAGTGGCACGCCTTTGAACACAGTACAATTTTACCTTTGAAAAAGAGATAACCCAGATGAACTAAATAAAACTACATCTACAACAATGAACATAAACACATCTATGAATTTAAGTAACTTATCAAAAATATCAAAATACTTCAGAGAACCAGCTGATGATTTGTTTTGAGCAGTTATTATGGGATTCACAGCCAAAGATGGTGTACCATTTATTAAATTTTGTACATCTTATGATTTAAGGATACTGTTAAGTGCAAAGAGTTATGCTAATATTCCAAAGTCTCCAAGTTTTATCATCTAATTCCAAACAGTTTCAAAGATATGACCATTCATTTAAAAAAATGGTTTTGGTCTTTGTTTCTGTTTTGTGTGTAATAGAATGTGTTCACTTACATATTTGAGAGAATGCGTACATTTACATATTTTGAGAATGAGTACATTTACATATTTCTGAGAATGTGTACACTTACATATGTTGAGGCAAGGAATCCAATAAAACAACTTAAAATTAAAAAAAAAAAAATAACACTTGTAATTTTGACCTTTATTGGAATTTTACTGGGGCAAATTTCATTACAAAAATGCAGATGTAGCTTAAATTTTTTATTTTTAAAGGTAGTTAGAGATTTTCTAAATTTTTTTTAAAATAACATTCCTACCTACCTGTTTATTATTACTCCTTTTCTCCTCCTCCTCCTTCCATTTCTATTTTTCCTCACTTATTACATTTGGACAAAAACCTGATAGAGTTTAACAAGTTTATTAGGCTAAAATTTGAGTGCAAGTGACCGGTATGTTTTATAACCATTTATCTTATTTTTTATTAACAACTTCCTCCACAACTCTAAATACAATTAAAAAAGATAGTGCAAAATTAGAAACATCACCTCCTGAATTAGCAATAACACTTTCCACTATTGCAGTATGTTGCCTAACTGGAAGTCCCTTGCCTATTGCTGTGAAAACTATTTTCTTTAAAATATTTTTAGGTTAAAAAACAAACAGAGGTATATTGTTTATATCTGTTATGATATTCTAATGAATTTAACATTCTGACTATGAATTACCTTTTAGGCTCAATTTTATAAACTATTAAATATCAAATTATATATCTCTATACATTATTGCCGAACTTAACTCTGTTAGTAGTGCCTATTTGAGCATGTTTGACACGGAACCCTTGGCAGCCATTGCGACGGAGGCAATGAAAGTGAGTCACAGCACTTTTTGTTATGACAAAACATGAACGAAAGTGTATGCAAATATCTAACAAATATAAACTTCAAATTATGCAATGTCAAAACATATTAAAACATGTAGCAAGTTTTACAGTTTTAATCACTTAATTTTGATCTCTAGCATTTATTTCTGATAAAAAAAAAATTATAGTTTTAGAATTTTCGTATGTCAATGTGCCAGCATGGCCGAGTGATTAGCATGCAGAGCTTCTGAACAAAAAAGCTGTGGTTCAAGTCTTACCAATGGCGTATGTAATATATAATTCAAGTCTAACCAATAGCGAATCTTACCAATGGCGTACCAATAAAGTCTTACCAATGGCAACAATTTCTTTTTTTTTTTTTTATTATTTTAAAATACAAAATACTTTTAAAGTTTTATAGAGATTATATACAATCATATGTAACGATATTATACACTTTAACCAAATGAAAATATTTTTAAAAAAGCTAAAAACTCTAATAATAAACATCATAAAACGGGAGGAAATTTGTTGCGTATGTATCATGATTGAAATACTTCTGTTATTATTATGTTATTATAATAAAGAAAAAATTTAATAAGATACTCCTGCTACTCCAGGTGCTGGTGTGAGGCAAAGAAAAAAAAAAAAAAAGCCTGAGGCTAGAAAAAAATTTAAATTTCTTTATAGGAATTAAAAGTCTTTTTTGCTATACTTATTTTTTTGCTATGAATATATATAGCCAAATCAAAAAAATATTGTGTTAAGAGGCAGATTTGAACCCACGCAAAATGGTACCAAGACAGCGCATTAAACCACTGATCTATCAAATTTAAGCATGTAATTGAAAAACAAACCACTTTATAAACTTTTACACCGATTGTAATTAATCAACTATTTTTAAGCAGGTTCTCTAAATAAGCGCAGCTTTATTACATAGGAATAAAGTTGCACATATATGTAAGCAATATATATAAACATATATGTTATATGCAAATGTAAAAAATCCACTTAAATAAAGTTTTATACAGGATGTTTTGTAATATAACTTTTCTAATATTTACAAATCTTTTTTGCTCAAGCTGTTTTGTTTTTAACTTTTGTTTTTACATTATTGTATTTAAAAGTTGAAAAAACATGAATCATATTGTCTTATCCAAGTAGAACATTTTATTTGCCTCTTTCTTGATAATTTTTATTTGCTTAAATTACCTCATTTTATAAATATGATAGACGCAGCTTTTTGAAGCCAAAACTGTTTTGCTTATATGATGTCACTTTGTGGCAAAAAACCAGAAAAATAAACTAGAAATAAGTTTTTTATTTTAATTTTATAGGCTAATTACTTTTATTAAAAATATATAGAATATATTTTTATAGAAGATATTCTAATAAAGACTTTATATAGTAATTTTAATGTTATTTTTTTAAAACTACTTATTTATTACTATTGTTATATATACAAACTCTTATCCGTGAAATGATATACCTGTACCAGTTTTATATCTTTTTGTGCAATTGTGTACACCATAATTAAAATTAATAAAAAAATTTAAGATAAATGCAAAAAGAAACATGATGTATAAATTTTGCTAGAAACTGACATCACTGTGCAAAATATTTTTGGCTTAACTTTTAGATTTATAGTGTTTTATAGACTATAGTTTTTAATGGTCTAAAATTTTCTTAGTTCTGCCATTTGTTTAGCGTTACGTACAAGCTTCTGTAAGTGTAAACGTCTTTATCATATGCTGAGTTTGCAGGCAGTATATGGAACAATTGTGTATAATAAATCTATAAAATGAAAAAACTTTATTATTTCATTTTAACAATTAAAAATCTTTTTTGCTATATTATTAATTTTTGCTTTAATTATTTAAGCAACATTAAAAATATTTCAAAACTTACTACGCTAAGGGGAGGTCTTAAAACCCCATAAAATGACTCTGATTACAGCGCATTAAACCACTATGCTATCAATGATATGCGTTTGGAAGGAAAATGAATCTAATTATAAATCTTTAATAAGCATATGTAAAAAAGATGTACATGTTAATTTTTTTGCTCTTAAAGCAATTTTTCCGAATGAACTATTTTACTAAAAAATATTGAATCAAATAAGGATTAAGTATAGAAATGATTGGTGTGGAATAGATAAGTATAGAAATGCTATGTTTGGTAAAGACCCATGTTTTACAAATCCAGAAAGCTAGGATGTATATATATTTAAGGAAAATGTGTAAATAAGGTCTGTGTGAAATAGACTTACAAAAACACAAATTTTCATGGGTCCAGTCAGCTATTTATAATAAATGCTCCATCATACAAAACATCTAATGTAGAAAGCAATCAAATGATGAAATGCAAAAAGTGATAATAAACAAATTTATAAAATATTGATGTTTTTTTCCAATAATTGTCTCAACCAATTGTTGGCCGCTGGTCATTTCTTTTAAAAAGCAATTTAGGTTTAAAATGTTTAAATTTTTTTTTTTTTTTTTTTCATATGAGAGTATTGTTGTTCGATAGTTAATAACTGTAAAAGTAAAAAAAACAAAATAATTTCTTTTTTTTTTCAATAGCTAATAAAAATAATATCTAAAATTTGTTAAACAACAATTAATAAACATTTTTTAATTAAATAAACACTAAAAATTAGGCTCCTATATACATGACAATTTCAAAATATATGATCTTAGCGATCCAGGAGATCAGACTGCTATCATCTTTTTCTAATAAAAAAAAAAAAAAAAAAGGTTCTAGTATTTCTCAATAGTTTGATTAAATAAATTATTTTCTACTTTTAGTAATAATTCAATAAAATGAGGACCAACCATTTTGAAATGGAAACAGTTACTTTTAAACTAAAAACAAAAAAAAAGTAGCCTCCTTGACTGTAGTGGTCTTCTCAGCCTTAGTAAGGTGAAAAAAAATATATATTATAAATAAATGTTTGTTACAATTGACTAATATTTATTATTCTTTAACATACAACTATTACTTTAATTGTTTCTATAGATAAAATAAATACTTTTACGCATATATTTATATATTGTAATAAGTATATGGTAAAAAAAAATATTACTTCTACATTTGGTTTTATTGTTGATATTATAGTTTGAGATGTTGGAAAAACCACACCTAAAAATATATAATTTTAGTTAATTTTAAAAATATTAAAATTAATTAATCAAAAAATAAAATTTATTTGTTTTATTATTAACAAAACTAAATTTATTTGATGCGTATATAACATTAATATACGGTAGTGTGGTGTAGAGTGCTGATTCATAAGCAAGAAGTTCAGAGTTTATCATGTTGAGAGGTAAATAAAAAAAAAAAAGATGAGATACTAACCTGGTGTAATATAGTCAAAATTAGCCTCAAACAAATTTGATATAGAATTTACAAATGGCTGAGTCATGGTTTCAAAGCTGTCAGCCCCAACAACTTTGAGATTCTCTTTTGTAAGAAGATCAGCTAGCTTCATAACAATATTAGCAGCTTGATTCTATACATTAAAAAAAAAATTTCTTCAGCCAATTTATTATAGCTCCAAGTTATTTTTTTTTTTTAATACTATCTAAATATAGTTTTAACATTTTAAATGTTTGTGCATGTTTGTGTTTTTTTAATTTTTAAATTATAATATTATTAAGCAAAACGAATATATTGTTTAAGCTTTTGTTGTTAACAATTAAATGAAGGTTAACAATTAATTAAAGGTTAACAATTAGGTGAAGGTTAACAATTAATTGAAGGTTAACAATTAATTGAAGGTTAACAATTAATTGAAGGTTAACAATTAAGTGAAGGTTAACAATTTAATAAAGGTTTACAATTAAATGAAGATTTACAATTAAATGAAGGTTTACAATTAAATCAAGGTGAACATTTAAGTAAAAGTAAAATGTTAATATGATAGTTAAAATGATTTTACAAAAGTTTTTTCTGTCAAAAAAAAAATCCTTAATACTTTCTTTTTATCTGCAAATATTCTGATAAGAAACATAAAAACTTTGTTGTGTTCTTTATTAGAGCACATCAGAGAGTTTTATTAGAGCATATCAGAGTAAAACAGGTATTTTTGAAAATTAAATTAAGATTTAAAAAATGCATTTATGTTGCAACAGTTTTATTTTGTTGTGTTTAGAGGTTTTTCTAAGTGTATACTTAGTGTTTCTAAGTAATTTTTTAATATTTATTATTGAATTTTTATAGCTATTATTACTTAATATCTTTTACATCTAATATTTTACATTGGTAATATCTGTTATTAGCTTATAACAGTGTTGCAGCTAGTGCATTACAACAGAAAAATGGACTAAAAAATGATCTAAAAAAAAGTTGGACTAAAAAGACAACTTAAACTTGTTTTATAAAAAAAGTATAAACACCTGAGATTGAGGAACCAGCTCCACTGGGTTTTGTGAAGATAAAGCTAAAGCATCACCTATAGATTTGAATGAACTCATATCACTAACAGGAGTATTGCTAAGTAAATCAATCATTTCAGTACGTGCCTATAAAAGATATATATTTATATACATAAAATAAAATTCTCAGTATAAAAGTATTTTAAAAATAAACAAGGGATTGCTGGTTACATTTTGCAGTATATTAACTTAATGGTATACTTCACCATATATTTGGTATACTAAAATATACTAAATTCAAATTAACTATGCTAAATTCATAGTTTGACTCTATAAACAAAAATGACATTGAAAAAATAGATAAAACATATGTAAGAATATTTTTACATACAAGAGTATCTTTTACATCAGCTGATTTTTTCGCTTGGAAGCAATATCATGCTAATCTTAGACCTATTTATAAGCCTCCATTTAATGCTACTTTAAGCCTCCATTTAGTAAATCAGTGGGTGCTTCTACAAAGATGCATTAAATAATAAAAAATACACACAAAAAATGTGTTGATACTTCTGAATATGTAAGTATATTGACTGATGCACTTTCCATCATTTATACAAATCATCTTATTATCTATTTAATTCATGTATAAAAATCGTGAAACTGATTGCTTACAAAATTGAGCCTACTGGTCAAGTGCAACATTGATACTGCAAAATGCAAAATGTAAATCTTGAGATCGGTGTGGATAAAATTAAGCTTTGTAACTGAAAATGCATTAAAAATAAGAAAGAAAATAGATATAAATGTAGATAGATATAAATATTCCTATAGTTAGGCATCTGAATTTACTTAATTTGTGGTAAATATATATATATATATATATATATATATATATATATATATATATATATATATATATATATATATATATATATATATATATATGTATATATATATATATATGTATATATATATATATATATATATATATATATGTATATATATATATATATATATATATATATATATATATATATATATATATATATATATATATATATATATATATATATATATATATACTTTTTTAATACCTTGCCTTCAAACAAGGATTCAAGCAGCCGCTATTGGGGTTGGAAGTTACTGAAAGAGAAAAGATAAAGTTTATAGAGGAAGATAACAATTGACAGACGACTTAAAAGATTGCAAATTGTATAAATCAGGAAAACAAGATAAAGGAAGCGAATTCCAAAGTACTGATGTTCAAGGAAAAAAACTAGAGGAATAAGAGTTTTTGAAGCACTTAAAAATAGCCACAGAAAAAAGATGAGACTTAACTGATTGACAAGTAACATGAGAATGAATTCTAGTAGATGGCACGAGAGACACTAGCTCTTTAGAGTAGTACTTATAATAGTATTTGTAGAAAAGAGAAAGAGAAGCAACATTACGATGATGTGATAACAGTTGGAGGTTGGTGCAAGAGCAGGTCCAACAATGCATTTTTTCACCTTGTCTATAAGAGAAAAGACATTATTTGAAAATCCGCCCCAGATATGGCAACAGTATTCCATACAAAGACAGATTTGAGATTTATAGAGATAAAGAATAGAATTTGGAGTAAGAAAGTGTTGAGCCCGTTAAAGAGAACCTTAGCAGATGCTAATTTTGCAATTAATTTGATATATGGTTTCCAAGAAAGATCAGAAAAGTTAATTCTTGAAGATAAAGGGTAGATAACTCGTTTAAATTATTGCGGTAAGGATTGGCTAAAAAAATTTGAGTTTAATCTGAGTTAAAGTTCACCAGCCACTGTGAGCCCCATTCTGTAGCAGAAGTGAGATCTTCTTCAAGATCTCACTTCTGCTTCTGACTTCAATCAACACTACATCGCCTACGACTAATTGACAGTTGTTTAAGGCAGAGCATTCTTTCCAGTACAGACTGTGTTGTCTCAGCTCGTTCAGATAACTATTGTAAAATCTGTTCCAAATACTTTCAAATAATTTTTGAATGTACTCTGTTCGATTGGAGCAGTCTTGCAGATTTAAACAAATAGGTGCGTTTTCAGATACTATACTCTCTCTCTCTATACTCTAGAATTTAAAAATTACGGGTTTGTGTAACACAGATTTGACGGCTTTACTGCCTTGTGTTATCCAAAATAGTTTTCTTACTTCATTAAGAGTGCTTTCAACACCTTGATGGAATACTTTTTTGTGAGCATCTTGAATTATAAGATAACATAAAAAATTGTTTCTCAACAAAATAATTGGATGCTTTTGTACAAAATTTAAAACTTGACTATTACAATAATGTTCTTTTAGTTGCAACAAATCATATTGGTCCTCAAACAATTTAAATGTACTTTTTATTTTATTAAACTTTTTATCATTACGAATGTCTTTTTGAACTTCTTTAACCCACAGATGTAAACCATAATTATATTCATTAACTGTCAGTATATCATTCATTAATATATTAATATACTTCTTTTATTCTTCAACACTTTTTTGGTAAAACGTAAAACATATGAGGTAGCTCTAACTAAGTTTTGTAGAGAGCTATACCTGTTTATATCAATTATATTTTTGAGAACCACCTCCCCACAAAACAAGGTACACGATGACAAGTTACTCAATACTTTGTTTGGCTTACCATGTTTACTACATTCTTTGTTAGCTTCTCCTTTCAAATTATTCTTATCAAATTCAAACTTTGGAAAGATAACACTTTTCTCATTAAGAAATTCTGGACCTTCAACCAATCTACTGCTACTACAATGAGACAAATCATCAGGACGAGTGGGAATGTCAGCTGGGTTTATTTCTCCATGAACAAAATGCCAACTATCACAATCGATTATTTGTCTGATTTTCACAACTCTATTTTCAACCCATGGCTTCCAACAACATGATTTTCCTTTTATCCAATGTAATGCAACTGAAGAATCTGACCATGCTACAATTTTTGATATTACAACTTTATCACAAATCGAATGTTTGACTTGTTTCATGAGTTTAGATGACAACCTAATAGTTCTAATGGCAACTTAATAATTCTAATCGTGGTATTGGCAAAGTTTTAAGTGGAGCAACTTTAGTTTTTGAGGTTAGTAAGCAGGTTTTTATTGAAGTTCTTGAAATAACACGAATATAGATAACAGAAGCATATGCTTGTATTGAACTGTCCGAAAAGGCATGTTGTTCTATGGATATAATATCTTCCTTTATTTCTGTTATAACATATCTTGGAAAACAAATATGTTGAATTTTTGAGAGCTGTAATACAAAGGACTCCCATAAGAGTTTAATGCTATCAGGAATCTCCTCATCTTACTCTAGTTTATCCTTACAAAGTATTTGAAATATAGTTTTAACACGAGTAGTAATTGGTGATAATAGCCCAAGAGGATCGTAAATTGATGCAGCTAAACATAAAATGTTTCTTTCTGTCTTGGGTTACAACTTTTCCTTTTCTAAAAGTGATTGAAATTTAAATACAAAATAATCATTTTCAATGTCCCAATTGACTCCCAATACTGTTTTATTACTTAATTGAGTGTTTATATCAACTTTATCATCAATATAATAAGATTAACTCCTTTGCATTTATTAATATGGTTTTGTAATTCTATATTATTTGTTGTCCATTTCCTAAGCTCTAAACCTCCTTTTAACATAATGTCTTTAGCTGTATGATAAAATTGTACGCCATCATTTAAACTATCACATCCCCTAACGAAGTCATCCATATACCAATCAGGTATAATCTTTTTATTTAATTCAGGGTAAGAAGACAAGTACTTATTGAGATGATGCTGCATTGTTCCATTTAAAATAAATGGACTTGAAGTAAGACCAAACACTACACAATTAAATCGATAAATAACTAAATGATCATCACGACTTAAATTGCTGAACCAAAGCAAACGAAAAAAGTCACTATATTCAGGCACAATTTCGATATTCAAAAAGGCTTGTTTTATATCCGACATGATGCCAATAACGTTTACACAGAAATGAAGAAAAATATTAAATATCTTTGATAACAAGTTTGGGCCAGGATATAAGATATCATTTAACAAAGGTGAATTTTTGGCAGATCATCAAAAATAGCAGGCACTTTTGTTGTTTCCTTTTCTTTTCTAATAACTGGATGGTGTGATAGATAACATACTGATCCAGGTGATTTGGTAATTTCATCACCTGTAACTCTCTCTATTATACCATCTTTTTCATATTGTGCGAATATATTACTATAGTCTTTCAAGAGCTTTTTATCAAATTTTAATTTTATATATATTAATTTTTTAGGCGCTTCTTAGCAATATTGAAATTATCAGCCAGCATCATGTGATCAGGTCTAAAAGGTAGTTTCGTGACATATCTTTTGCCATTAAATTTTATATCTTTTTTTTAACAGATGCATTACACTATCTTTTAATTCTCCAATTTCCTCAAGTTTCCAAAACTTTTCTAATTGATCCTTTAAATTACTTTCAACATTGTTACGTAAGGGAAAGACACTACACTTCATAGAATGACTACTGTAATGTTTATTTGAGTCAACTGGAATAGACAATTTGCTTTGTCCTGCCAGAATCTAACCTAGTGATGGATTAATGGCTGACCATCAGACCCACAAATCATTTCTTGTGTCACAAAGGAATAGTAAAAGTCAATTCCAACTAAAATATCAACCTTAACTGTGGTATTAAAATTATTGTCTGCTAATGATAAATGTTTTAAATGTTTGTAATTATTCACTGCTTCTGAAATATTTTGCATTTTTAAGGATGTACAAATCTCTGGGATGCATAACGCTTCTAAATAAGTCCTTTGTTAATTTTGTGTTTTATTTGAAGTTGTATAAAATCTAAAACTTTTAATATTATCAAATGACCAATATTAATTACTGTAATAATATCAAAAGTATGTATCATCTGTAATATTATCAAAATTTTTGCAAGGTTTTTAGTTTTAAAGCATTTCTTAACTCTTCAGTTATGTAATAAAACTGACTTCCACTATCAAACATTAAACAAACTTTTTTCGAGAGAAAATTTTGACAATCTGAAACTCGGGTTGTGGCAAATTGGAGAAGTACAGTATTACTAGTATTTGACCAAGTATGAGTTTGTCAAATACTAGTTTCAACAAGGTTTCCATATGTGCAGTTATTTGTACTTGGGGGTCTGCATATCTTTGTTTTAAAATATCATTTGCTTCTTTATAATTTTCATTGAATAGAGTTAATCCTGAAATGGCTGCTAGTGGACCATGATGTAAATATTTTTTTAAATATGAAAACTTATCTATTTTACTCAGGAATTCGTTTTGATTAATTGTTGCATTGAATTGGTCCCAAAATGAGTACCACTTAAGAGGGCTTCCGTCAAAAGATTGTTTTTCTAGTTTAGGTAATTTACATTTGGATGTAGTGCTTTGTGAATAATCAGATTGAGAATTAGGTGAAAGTTTTTGAGAGTTTAATTTGTAATCGATTTTTGCAAGAAGTTGATTTGAATGACGTAGGAATCTCTTAGACTGAATGATAAATTCAGAAATGTCATCTGGTTCCTTTAAATTAATTATTTCTTCTTCTACTTCTCTTAGTTCTAGTAACGTGATGCTCAATGAATTTCTTAATCCTCTAAGTGCACTAAAATTATTGTCACTATCATTTAACAAGTTATTTTTGACTTCTTCATTTATTTCTTGTATGTCGTTTTGTAAACCTGTCCTTCGGGATAAATTCCTATTTAAGGCTGCCATATTTTTATGTAATGTCAATCAAATGTATATCTTTACAATTTTATTTGCTTCTTTTTGCAAAATCTTTGTATTTTGTTAAAAAACTCTTTTTTACATCGGGCGCCAATTTAAAAACTCTTCTATATTTGTTTTTAAGAAAGCGATAAGACGAAATAACAACTCAATAAAACAACTAAATAAAACACGTCTATCCAACACGAACTATCTTTTACCACTAAACAAAAATTATAACTACAAGTATTACACCATGCGGCACGGAGGAGCACTTAAGCGCGAAAACTCATCTGTGTCAGATTTTACAGTTTCAAAGGTACACTACTGAGATAATAATAACTGAGAAAGCATTCCTCAAGGATAGAAAACAAAGAGCTTTTGTCAACGAAAACTACTCTGAGTGGATAAAAGTTCAGAGTGGTGTGCTACAAGGATCTGTTCTAGGACCTTTACTGTTTATAGTGTGCATAAATTATATGCCAGATATTGTCAAATGTTTACTCAAGCTCTTTTCTGATGACAGCAAACTAATAAATATAATGAAAAATCAATTTGACATTGAACAGCTGCAGACAGATTTTGATACTGTGGCTAAATGGGCTGATAATTGGAAAATGGAGTTTAATACAAACAAATGCAAAGTTTTGACAATAAAAAAGTCATCCAAAACAACACTCTATGATCACAAATTTAGCATATAAAATCAAGATAATAGCCGCACATACTTATTGTCTACAAACCAAGAGCAAGATCTTGGAATTTTAATAACTAGTGATCTAAAATGGTCAGCCCAATCAAAACATGCAGCAGCTAAAGCTAATGCAGCACTAGCTTCACATGTCATAGCGATTATCCTAGGCCAGCATGTATATATATATATATATATATATATATATATATATATATATATATATATATATATATATATATATATATATATATTATATCTAGATTATCCTAGGCCAGCATGTATATATATATATATATGTGTATATATATATATATATATATATATATATATATATATATATATATATATATATATATATATATATATATATATATATATATATATATATATATATATATATATATATATATATATATATATATTAGGGTGGTCCTTAAAACAACTTTTTTTTTAAATGTTTGCTCTCATGTTAAAAGTAATCATTATTTTATAAAAAAAACATTCCAAAAAAATATATAATCAAAAAATCATGTGAAATTCCCTATTTTTCAATTTTAGTTAAAAAACAACATTTTCTGTTCACAAAAATCTTAAATAATAATTTTTTTACAAAATGATGATTATTTTGGAAATTTTTATATAATTTCGTTTTTTTTGAGACTTAACAAAACATACTAATGAAAAACTTTTTTTTTATTAATATTTGGGACCCATTAAATGTTCAGAGGTCTTGGGGCACCACTAAAAATGTTTTTTATTCAAAAAACTTTAAAATCCAATGTTCTTTTATCATATAGAACACATTTAGAGGGTGAGAGCAGACATTTAAAAAAAAAGTTGTTTTAAGAACCACCCTAATATACATTATTCCCTAATATTCAATCTAAACAAAAAAAATTTTATTCAACAAAGCTTACATTTTGCAAAAGATGTAACTCTTGCTCCTTTTCTAGGTTTTTGGCATCAGTATCTTCCATGTTAGTAAATTTGTTTATAGGTGTTGGTGTGTTATTGTAATAACTTGCTGCATTTTTATTGGTAGTTGAGCTAACTGCTTGAACAATATTAGCTACACTTTGTGTATCATTCAAATTTATTCCAATTAGCAAATCTGTCATATTTATTAGCTTATTACTTGGACGCACCTGTAGAATAATTTAGTATTTTAAAACAAAAAAAAAATTATAAAAAGAAAATAATTAAAACAATTTTCTTATATTAAATCTAGAAATAAGCATGATTTTTAAAAAAAGTCATAAAAACCAACATTGTGTTAAAACTCAGTGCTGTGTTAACTATTTTTAGATTTTATCTCTTAAATACAAAATAAAAATTACTTTATATAAAAATATAAAAAAAACTAAACATTTAAAATTGAATTGCAGAAGTGGCAAATATTAAATTAAATGTTAAACTAAAAATAACAAAAATCAGGCAGAATGCTTAAATGAACAACAGGCTGCATAACTATTTGTTTAAAATTACATTTTCTGTTTTACATTTAGGGTTAGGGTTAGGGTCAGGGTTAGGGTCAGTATAGTTTTTTTTTTTTTAAAGTGTTACACATGTTTGCTTTTTTTTTTATTTATTTTTCTAATTTTTTTTTTCATTTTATGTTTTAAGAAATGCTACTTCATTTAAATTAGATGTTTTGACCAATTTTTTGAATGCATGTATGTATGAATATACACTAGCATGCAAGTCTTTGGTCGTACTCAATATTGTAAAGAAAATTTTTGCTATCTCAAGTGAATGTCTAGATATAAGAATGTCACATAAAAGCAAGTTGCCTGAAATTTGTTTTAATTTAATTAATTTTTTATGTTAATATAATGTAATTATAATATCTATTATAAAATACAAGTTTTATTTCTGAATATATATTGTAGACGGGTTTTTTATGTGTAATTGCTGAATATAATTTTTAATTTTGTTTGCATACTAACAACTAGATTAAATTTTTTTTAGTAAGATTTGTACAAACATGAGTCGAAATGAGAAAACAAAAACAGAATATTCGATTGAGCTATGTGCAAAAAATGTATGTATGTATGTATGTATGTATGTATGTATGTATGTATGTATGTATGTATGTATGTATGTATGTATGTATGTATGTATGTATGTATGTATGTATGGATGGATGGATGGATGGATGGATAGATGGATGTATGTATGCATGTGTATGTATGTATAAACTGTTAAAAATAAAAATTTTGAAATACCTTGATAAAAAGTTTATTGTATTCTGTGTATGCATTGTATTTACCATATATTTTTATAATAATACTGATTTTGTAGTCATTTTTCTCATCACCCGGACCCATCACAAAGTCAATTAAGCTAGGTTGATCTGTGGTTGCAGCATTTAACATAGGATAATCAACAGTCGATGTACTACTAAGCTTCATTTGCTGTGACTGATTGTTATCATAAAAAAACTTGTAGCTCAAGAAGCCATCTAAATCTTCCCAATCATAACAAACAATCTTAAAATATGTTTCGAGGGCATAGCCATCTGTTGGACTAATAAAAAAAGTTATAAATATCTTAAAACATCTTGCTTTCTTGGTCAAAGTTTTTTATGTTAATTAAGTGTGATGAAAAGTACATTAACAATTACTGCAATTTGTTAAAATTCTATATTACACAGCATAAGTTTTTGAATGTATATATTTTTTGTCTTAATTTAGCGAACACAAGTTTAATGATTTTTTAAAAAATGTACTTTTCTGAGATTTTATTTTTAAAATTTATATCACCATATTATGGCACTAACATTTAATTTGTGTCTTTTTATGCCATTCTTATATTTTTGCAATTAATTTTCTAAATATCATGCACTAAATATGATTAATTATTTCATTATTTTCAAAACTAATTTATTCAATAATTATTTTCTAATTATTAACAATTAAACACTTTAATTTAAAGTACAATAAAGTAAAGAATTTATGTCATATTTATATTCAAAACAATATTCAAGTTCAAATAATTGGTCAATAATTGGTCAATATGGTTAAAAATTCTTTTATTATTTTTGTGTTATTATTGTTCTTATATATACAATAAATAATAGTTTTTCAAAGAAGAACTATTGTTATAACCAAATTACTTTTTACTCAAATTCTATATTACAACAATAGTTCTATTTTCAGAATAAAATTCAAATAATGTATCCAATAAATAAATTAAACTAATTAATAAGTAAACTTAATTTTTTTTCAATTAGTATATTATTGTTTTGCTTTACAACATTAATTCTAAAATTATAAAAAATTAATCTTTTTTATTGGATAAATTTTATAATATTTGTTTAGTATAGTTATTTTTGCTAGTATTTTTTTTATATTATCTCATAATTATAAAATCCTTTATCTTTTGATTTTATATTGAATTTTATACTTTTCTATTTTTTTATATTAAATTGAAATACATATTTGTCTGTTACAATATATGAAAATGTGTGATGTTTTTAAATCTTACAAATGTGTGATGTTTTTAAATCTTACAAATGTGCAATGTTTTTAAATCTTACAAATGTGTGATGTTTTCAAATCTTGAGCTGTATTGTAAATTTATGTTATAAGTTTTTTTTTCAATATTATATATAAAAAAATTATATTATATATAAAATATTATATATTAAAAGTATATAATATATATTATATGAATAAGAACCAAGCCATATAGTGATAAGACAATAAATGATGACAAAATAAGATAACAGTATGAGTAACAAAGTATGATTCATAACTTTCATCATAATCATACAAAATTATGATTCATAACTTTCATCATAATCATACAAAATATGATTAAAATTGAAATTGAAATTTTTTTTAAATTCTTTTTTTTATTTATTCTTGAAAGATTAAATATAATTGTTATTTTAATAAAAATTTATTATAAAAATTCAACAATAAAATAGATACTCACTTAATGTAACAAACCCCTGATGATGGCTGAGAACACGTAGTCTTTGTAAACTCAAATGTCACTCGTTTTAATGAATCTGTGAAACCAACTACTAAAGTAAATGTATAGTTTTTTGTTTTAAGTAAAATGTTTTTATTAATTACAAGATTAGGGGTCAAAAAGCCAGTTGTGGAAGCATTTTGAGACATAACTTCAAGAGGAACATTTCCAGCATCATCTGTTATTTTCCATTCTGCTGATAGTCTGAAAAAAAATTCAGACCATACAATTTGAATAATAAAAAACTTTGATAGTAATATATTAAATTTAAAGGCTTTAGTAACTTTTTAGTAACTTCAAACTTAATTATGCCTGCAGCTATTTATATTAAGTATGCCTGAAAAAATTGTTCAAATGAGTTTAAAAAAGAAAATAAAATAAAAACAAAATCAAATTACTTACTTTTGAGAACCGCAATCTTCACATGTATATGAATAAATTGTTCGTTCTTTAAAATTCAGTTTTGCATCACAGTTTGATATGCATCTATTAAATAATACAATTCATGAACATTTTTTTAAAGTATAAAACTATTAAAACATCATTAATACTTTAATTGACTTATTTTTATTAAATCAAAAACCTGATAATAAAAAAAATCTGTGCTTTAGATTTTTTCATGTCCTTCAAACTTTCTGAGTTTATAGAAATCAAAATCATTTTAATACTTCCCAAAACATCTCTAATTTATAATCTGTTCCAAAAAATGGACTTCACATTTTTATATTATTAATTTATTTAAAGGACGTGTTTTGCAGATCTTGTTTGATAGTTCCGGTTTGATAGGTCATTTTTGTATAGATCATGTTTGTATAAATCATGTTTAATAAGTTGTGTATGTATAGATTGCGTTTGATAGGTCATTTTTGTATAGGTTGTGTTTGATAGGATGTGTTTTAGTAGTTGATGTTTATATAGATCGTGTTTTTATAGATCTTGTTTGTGTAGATCATGTTAGTATAGGTCATGTTTGTGTAGGTCATGTTTGTATAGGTCATGTTTGTGTAGGTCATGTTTGTGTAGGTCGTGTTTGTGTAGGTCGTGTTTGTGTAGGTCATGTTTGAGTAGGTCATGTTTGTGTAGGTTTTGTTTGTGTAGGTTGTGTTTGATAAAAGCCTTCACTTTAGTAGCATTTATTACTAAAGGCAGAGCTTTAGGAATAAATGCTACTAAAGTGATTGTAAAAAGTTTATTTATATTCTGTTCTGTAAAAAGTTTTTATTTTGTAAACAATGAAAGTATATTTATATATCTTTTACTGTTTATTTTAATTTCAATTCATTTAAATTTTTCTTTAATTTTAATTTCTCCTTAATACTGTAATATTTGGTATAATATTATTAAATATAATATTGTGCAATATTATTAAATATAGTAATATTGAACAATGTCAATTTTTAACACTTACACCTAAACAGTATTTTTATTCAAGTTCTACTTATAAAAATGGTTTTAATATGCCTTAATTAAAATGATGGTAGCTGATGAATAATATTTTTGTGTCTGTGTCATCTGTTCTAAAAATAGTTCTAGTCAGAATATTAATGTAGCAGAATGACAGCAGTTCTGTTGTAGGGGGCATTTGAGCTTGAAAAGAATCTCACTTCTGCTACAACAGAGCAAAAGTAAGATCTGCTACTTCAGTGGCTGGTGAACTTTAACTTTGATAAAACTGAAACAAAAATTTTTTCGGCTAATCGTTATCTCGAAGAGTCATCTACCCTTCATCTTCTAGGATTAACTATTGATCTCCCTTGAAAAATTTATTTCAAATCCATTGCAAAATTAGCATCTGCTAAGGTTGTATCTCTTTATCATGCTCAACACTTTCTTACTCTGGATTCTATTCTTTATCTTTATAAATCTCTAATCCGTCCTTGTATGAAATACTGTTGTCATATCTGGAGCGGATCTTTCAATGATGCCCTTTCTCTTTTAGACAATGTGCAAAAACGCATTGTAAACATAGTTGGACCTGCTCTGCCAACCATCAACCATTATCACATTGTGGTAATGTTGTTTCTCTATTTCTATTCTATAAATATTATGCTCTTAAGAGCGTACTTGTCTCTTGTATCATCTACTAAAATTCATTCTATTGTTACTCGCCATTCAATTCAGTCTCATTCTTTTACAATGTTTCTAAGTGTTAAAAAATTTTAATTGTCTAGTTTTTTTCATCAAACATCAGTTCTTTGAAATTCACTTCCTTTATCTTATTTTCCTGATTTATATAATTTGCTATCTTTCAAGTTGTCTGTTAATCATTATCTTGCTTTATAAACTTCATTTTTTCTCTTCCAGTAACTTCCAACTTTAATAGTGGTTGCTTGCAGCCTTGTTGGAAGTGAAGATGTTTAATATATATATATATATATATATATATATATATATATATATATATATATATATATATATATATATATATATATATATATATATATATATATATATATATATATATATACTAAATTAAATATTAATAAGTATCCAAGTAACATCGAAAAAATTTTAATGCAATATTGCTTGTTAAACTCTTGATTATGTTATGGTTGAAATGCAATCAAATAAACCCAAATTTAAACAACCTTAAAAATGCATCTAAACTTTGAATGTGCACTGAACTTTATATGAGTGATTATAACAACTTGAGATCAATTAATTGAATTAATTGGTTATATACATTCAACAACACACAGTCAGGTTAGTTTAATGAAATTTAAAAATAAATGTTCTGTATAAAAGAATACAAAATTTCTAGTTTATTTACCCTATTACTTGAACATTTCATAATTAAACCTTACATAGATAAAAAAGTTGAATGAATAAAAAAAAAATTATAAATTAAAAGAAAGGACTTTTTTATATATATTTGCATATATATAATTACAACACTAAATCGTCACATTCAGGAAAAAATACTTAATTGCAAAAAGGATTTTTTTTAAAATGTAAACAAGTAGTTTTTGGTAAGGCTTTTTTAAACTGGCTTAAAGTTACCAGCAGGGCTCTTCAGGGTAAAATAACACTCTTCATAGTTTAAATAAATTATTTGCTGGACATCAAAAATTTAAATACCAATTCTTTAACTTGTTGATACTATAAATGTATTAGCTGAAATAAGAAAGTATATATGTGGATAAATGCAACATATTTATTGGTAAATTAGTTTAAAGTATTGCCACAATACAGATTTAAACTGATAATAATCCTTTAAATAAAAACAATTTAATAAAATAAAATAAATAAAATAAAATAAATTTTAAATAAAATAATCCTTAATAAAAAAACAATTTTATCAAAAGCTAATAGTGTGCTTGTCAAAAATTCTTATGATAACATAAAACTTTAACAAATAAAACTATCCAAATTTTATAAATGACCACAGCTGGAGTTTGCGCTTTCAACTCAGTCAACTTATTTAGAAAAAATTAAAACTGATCAAAAAAATCCTGCTAAAGGCTACATATGCCCTAAGTTAAAGGCATAAAAATCACTGTCAGCACCTTGGTTTATGTTAAAATCCCTTAGATTTTTTTTTTAATATAAAAATCTCATAAATAATATAAAAACTCATAAATAAGTTTTAAATGCTAACAATTAAATTGTTTGTGACCAACATTAACCACCTGTCAGTTTGAAAATCTAGCAACCGGTTATTGTTTCATCTATCGCTTTTATTTTTAAATTTTGCATTTTTACTTTATCTTTGTAAAGACTCTTTATAATGAAATGCTAGGGGTTGACATAAATTCTTTTAGAATTATTACTTTTTCAACATTTCGTCTTGTTCTAAAAAGAATTAAAGGTAATAATCTTATTTTTGTAAAAACTTTAATGTTTTAAACTATAAGAAATCAAGATTTTTCCTTAATAATACTTGTTCACCACAAGAGGTAAAGGTTTTTTTCACACAATTATCTTTCCTTTTTGACATGTAACTCTTGCCCGTGTCCAATTTTTAGACTTTAACAGTTTCTTAGCAAACAAAATAATACTTTTTTATTAACTAATATACATTAATTCTTATAACTCTAATAATATTGACAAACAAAATAAGCATAAACTCGCTGACATAACAGTTGAATGAAGTGTGAAATAATAAAATAACTGTCAATACATACATTTATGTATGAAAGGATGTATGCATTATATTCATAGATATTGTTTAAAACTGCATATAACTTCCTTTTTTTAATTTACTAGAATTTTGAAATGTTATAACCTATCAAGTTAAATGTTTAGGAAGAAAGAAGCGGATAGTTAGCTACAGTGAGTGGAGAAACAGATAACTAACTATAATAAGTGAGTGGAAACTTGGACAACTGGTTATAATAAGTGAGTGGAAAAGTAGATAACAGGCTAAAATGAGTAAGTGGAAAAGTGGATAATATCCATGTAGCATGGATAGCTAGCAATAATAATTCACATTTCTTTATTATTTGATGTTACCAACAAAAAAATTGAAAAATGTGAATGATAAATATTAGTGTAAAAAGTCATCATTTAAGTTTAGGTATGTTACCAAATAAAGTAAGAAGGTTACCAAATAAGGTATCTTCTAAATAAGTATTTTAGTACATTATAGAACAATAAAGTAATAAATATAATAGAATATTACAAGAAATAAAAACATGTTCCTGTTGTAGTTTCATGATATTAACAATTTTCTACTAAATAAAAATTGCAATATTTAAACCTACCTAACAGCAATTGTCGGAATTCCACCAGCAATAATTTGAAGTTCTTGAGTGAAACAACCTGTTTTATTTTTGTCTGATGACTTGACATCTTTCCCAACATACTTTGTTCCACATACTTGAATATGATAGCTTATACCCTCAAGAAACTGTTGTGTACTTAAAGATACCTCTGAATTAATAGACGGAATGCTTATCCAATTTTGATCAAAGCATGTGTCACTTAAATAAGTAAAGTTCAAAGATTTATAGTTTGCCATTATTTCTTGAGCATATGAAAAATTTGAAGCAATTTTACATTTCCAATTAAAAGAGATTTTTTGAGTTCCAATCGTTGGATCATCTGGATCATAACTAGACTTTGCACTTATTGTAAAATTTTGGTACAAGGTGTCATTTCCAATTTTCTTTTTATGAGCAATAGAAGAAAAAAATCCATTATCAATTTCTATAAACAATGGAGAAAATACAATATTTATGTAGGCAGTATAAACATTTGTAACAAGTCCATAATTATAATGCAGTGTTAATATATAAAAGCCAATATCAAGTGAATATTTTTTAATTGAGTAAGTAACTTTTTGCTGGGATAAAAAACCATTAACAGAAGTATTTGAAGTGGAACTTGCAAGGTTCCATTTAAAACTAAAACTTTCAAGTTTACAAAAACTATCAATATTTTCAACAAATGCTATTATATCACCTCCAATACTTCGAACAATATTCATTGGACTTGTAATAGTTCCATAAAAAAAACTAACCTCTGGCACTGAGCAATTTTTTACTACTATTTGAACCAAAAAACTTGAATTCTGCAACAAGTTGTAACATGTTACATTAACAGTGTAGTTGTTTTCGTTATTATACTTATGTTGTATTTGAAATGGAACTGGATTTTGATTCATGGTTTGATTTTCGATTTCATAAGTACCATCTCCCCAATCAATTAAGTACATCATGTATGAACCTTTATTTTGATTAATGTTTAAAATTATATTTTTGCTGAGAGATAAGTAAATATACTTATTTAGTGAAACAACTGGATTTGTTATCACATTCAATGGAGACAGTGAACAAAAAACTACAACATCAGTAAAACTAGTAAACAATGCAGTGTCTATAAATTCTTTTGCGTTTACAAAATAATTCATTGCGCTGACATTAATTGTAAAATTATTGCATGTGGAATACCTGCATTAAAAAAAATCAACATAAATCTATGTACCAAATAATACATAAAAGCTTAAGTTTAAAATCAAAAAATCAATATTATAGTAAATATAAACTTTAACACAAAATATAGAAATGAATGTAAAACTTTCTAAAATTAATATTACTAATTTAAATACATGTATAAATAATATTATTTACTATTATCCTATTCATATTATTAGTATGATTATACTAACTTGATTATAATACTAACATAAAATATAAAATAATATAAAATAAAGATAAAAATACACTACATCATACAATAACATCTAGATGAGGTGCTAATCTTTTAATATATATGTATAGACATATATATCAAAAGATTACCACCTCACTTTATTAGAGTACAGTGCTTTCACTAGATTTTATTAGAGTACAGCTTTCACTATTGTGCTTGGTACATAGCACTAGAGGCACAAATAGTTTGCTAGGGGGGTCATCATTTCTGCTTTGATCTGGAGGAGTTTTTCCTAAAAAGATTACTGACAGTTGAAAAAAAATCATTGTGAAATTGTTTTGTTCCTTGCAGCATATTTACAGCAAATTCTACTGCTGATGGTACAACCGAATCATACACTTTGAGATCTGCATCAATTAAGACCCATCATTCTGAACTAAGTTTCAATACAGTCATGAAATGTTCCAATACAGTCTTTCACAGGAAAACGTGTGATCGCACGCAATTATATGACCACGCAAAAAATATTTTGTTTTAACAACTTGACCACGGCTTTTGAAATATTTTCAAGATTTGAAAATGCGCTACAAAAACTTACCAAACTTATTTTAAACAAAAACTTTTAAAAAAAAAAAATCTTTATTAAAATTTTTAGAAATGAAAGAGAAAATAAAAAAAATACTTAACTAAAGCAAAAACATACAAAAAAAAAAACTCAAACCAAAATACTTAGCCTATTTAATTTACGCATTAAAAAACCATTTCATCCTTTGTTTTAAAATTTGTACTTTGTTTTTTGTTTTTAATATGTTTAAAGATAAACATTTATCATAAAAAATACATAATTATGCAAGTAAAAAAAAAACAGTTGTAAATATTTTTTACAAAAAATCATTAGAAGTATTTTGTTTAATAAAAAGCATTTTGATAATATAAAAGCATTTAAGATCAAACTTATTTAATTGTAATGACTTTCTAAAACATTTGTTTTTTTTTTCAATGAAATTTTGTTTATCTTTTCAAATGTATTAACTTTAATTATTCTTATATTAAAATTTGTTAAAAAAACTTTCTCTATCGTATAAAACCATAGTTTATAAAAACAAAACAACTTTTTTTTTAATAACAATTATTATGCACAATTAAACAATTTATATATTATAAATTAAAAAAATATATACAACTATCAATTATACTTTTAAAAAAAATTATTATCAGTAAACTTACTTTATTTTAAAGCGTTTTGTTAATAAACAACATTTATTAAAAGTTTTGATGAAATTTATTTCACTTAAGGTATAATTCAGAATACTTTTAAAATCTTTTTTGAAATAACTGTGGTCAAACCGTATATAATATATATAATAGCTGTGGTCAAACCGTATATAATATATATACAAAGTGCATTTTTAAAATCATTTTTGAAATAGCTGTGGTCGAACCGTATACAATATATATATATATATATATATATATATATATATATATATATATATATATATATATATATATATATATATATATATATATATACATATATATATATATATATATATATATATATATATATATATATATATATATATATATATATATATATTACTTTTCATAGTTAATGTGATGAGAAACTTGAAGTTTTAAAATGTTAACCTTAAATTGTACAGCAAAAAAGATAAAAAAGAAAAACAAGAAAAGTTAATTTTTATTTCTACATTTTGTATATGATTCTAATCTAGTTTTTTTTTTGCGTTGTATGAACTTATACCCAAACGAGTATTCAAGTATGATGTCATCATTTGTATATAAAGCAAAAAATATTGCTAAATAAAGTTTTCATAACTTAAATTGAAATGTAAAAAAAATAATACATACATATGGGTGACAGTGAAAGTCATACCATTCAAACCAGTTGCATTAATATTTGAAATATTTGTAACAGGTGTTCCATCACCAAAATCAACTAACAACTGCACATTAGTGCCATTAAATATTTGTATGGCTGCATTAAAGGTACTATCTTGTAGTTGACTTTTCTCAATAATTAAATTTACTCCACTTATTTCTGATAAAACTTCAATATCAATTGAAGTATTAAGTGAATTAACTTTGTTAGCAGCTGTCAAATACACAGTGTACACACCTAAAAAAAATTACTTTTAGTAATATAAATATCAAATGTTAATATCATCATAGAATATCATAATTTTCTATTAACAAAAATTAGAAAAAAACTTGCCTATAGTGGTGAACATATAATAAACTTGATTATTATTAGATATATTTTTTGAATAATTAAGCTTTGGTATACTAAATGAGTATGTAACATGTGATCCGTTGTCTATCTCAGCTTTTAGCGTTACCCAAGTGTTAAGTTTGTATCCAGCAACAAATTTTGAAACTGGTTTCTTTTCTGCAAACCGCAAACCAGAGATAGGGATCTATATTTTTAAAAGGTAAAAAATTATATCAAATATAATAATGAATCATAAAATTAATCAATTAATAGTTCAAGCTAGGTAACAACTGGGTTACATATTTTGGTAGGAAGGAGGATGGAAATGTTATTAACTAAAAAGGAGGGAAATTATATGATGCCTAGAGCAATTTGATTTAAATAATAATTATTCAGCACAATTAAAACTAAAAAAAAACTATTATTGACTTAACAAACTCTAATTAAAGGCTATACAGTAAAAGAATTTGCATTTCAAAATATACTTTTTATTGATTTACAAATATCTTTTCCAAAATTTCTTCACTCAACTATTTAATATAAAATATAATAAATGATGTCACCCCAAAGGGCAACTATTGATTTTTATTGGCAGTTTTAATTATTATTTTGTTTTAAAATTAAGATATCTATAAAAAGAAAAGTAACTATCTAAATTAACAATAAAACTTTTGTTTTTAAAGTTACAGTGTCAAAGTTTGTATTTTGCACTTTCTAATAACTAATTAGAACATAAGAAAATTGTAGAAGGGTTTAAACGCATTTATTAAAATACTTCTAAGTAAAAACTAAAAAGTTTTATTGTTTAAACAAAAAAACTATTTTATTTTTATTTTATTACAAATTTTATTATATATTTTTTGTTATGGGGTCATCCATAAATTATATCACGCTATTAGGGGGGAGGGGGTTGTTGGTTTTGTGACGAATCATACAAAACTTGCTTCTTGAGTGTTACGATTTTGTGATGAGGGGAGGGGAGATGTCAAAAACAGTCAAAAATTGCATGACATAATTTATGGACAACCCCTATATATTTATATATTTATAGAGGATTTAGAGATAAAGTAATAAAAATGTCACACAAAAAAAATTTTGGGGCAGGCATTGTTAAGAAGCATTACGCAGCTCGCTTTTTTCATACATGTCAAAAGAGTTCAGTTAAACAAAAACTTTTAATGTTTATATATTTTGTAAAATATAAACATTAAAAGCATTTAGTGAGGCAAAAACTTTTTTTTTTGTATATTTAAATTATCTTTTAACGTTAAAAGATAATTTAAATAGTTTTTTATAAAAGTTTTGCAACTTTTATAAAAAAAATTTTCTAATAGCCTGCTTATTAATTCATTACATAAAATATAAGTCTCTCCGTCATAGCTTATCATAGATTATTATAAGGAAAAGGAAATTAAATTTTTTTTTTTAATCATAAAAAGGGAGAATTACTTTTGTTTAAGAGAACTCTTGTCTCAAATGTAAATTTTGTTTCTTAATAATTCGATATCATTTAAAGTTCTTTTGACTTAATCATTTACATTTAAGAACATAAATTAAGTTTGTAACATAAAATAAATTGGTAACTGATAAAATCTATCTATAAACTGTTTATAATCTTTAAATACATTATAAACATTAAATACGTAAAAATTAAAATAAATAAATTGTGATAAACAAACAAAAGATTATGTTAAGTATAAGATTTTTTAGAAAAATAAATTATAAGGAAATATTATCTTTTTCAAAGACTGAATTTAAATTCAATTAGTAACTTTTGTTAAATTAGTTTATATAATTTTTAGTGAGGTTTAAAATTAAGTTTAATTACAACACAATATTTAAAACTCTTTTAAAATATCAATAGTTTTTAAGCTCCTGTTACAAATAAGATTTTAATAGTTACAACACATTAAAAGCAAAGGTTTTTAATGTGTTACGGTTTTAAAGTATTTGTTAATTGTTTTTTCTTTTAAATATTTGTTGTTGTAAAAATAAACACTTATATTTTTGATACAATAAGCGCTCAATTCAAGAGAAAAACTTAATTGCATATATATTGGCATGTGCTTTATCTGAAAGTAAAAAAATTGAATGTTATCAATAGCTTACAATATTATTTATGCAAATTATTTCTAGTCTACACTTAGCTCTGTAATGAAAAATGACAAAAACATGCGAGAAATCTGCTGAATGCAAAAATTTTAATAAAAAACAGCAATAGCCATCTCAAAAAATTTATCAGGCGACCGAAATTATAAAACTGGTTGTTTTCAGTTCGGCAACCGACCAAAAGTCCCAGTTTACATCATATATGGTAATTATATCAAAAATTAATTATGTACATTTTGATTTTTATATTAAAGTATATATTTTTATATATATGAATGCCTATATAATATATATTATAAAGATATACAAAAATATATACTTTAAAATAAAATTTAAAACATAGATAATTTTTAACAAAAACAAATTCCAATTTGTTAAAGTGATACAAAACATTGATTTTTAAAGCTTTTTTAAAAACTAAATATACCTGAAAATTAAATGAATAGTTCAGATGCTGAAAAGATGGGACATGATTAGAAGCATCAACTGTAAAGTATAACATGCCAGTTGTATTAGATGGTATTGGAATCAAACACTCAAATGGTTTAGTTATAAAAAATGAAATAAAGAAATCATCATTAGTTATGCTGTTAGTGTTAAATGTGATTTCTTTTCCAACCTCCACTCCTTGCAGATGTTCATGGGTTGCTCCATTACAAAATAAACTAGCATTTCCACCAATCCAAATCATGTCACTTTCTTGAATCTCATTATTGTTATTTTGGATAGGTATTTCAATAATTCCAGTATCATTTAACAGAAAGATAAATTCTGAAATAAAAATTAACATTATTTATCATATTTATCATCATCACCATCATCATCATGATCATCATTTATCACCATCATCATCATCATTATTATCATTATCACTATCATCATTCATCATTATTATCATTATCACCATCATCATTCATCATTATTATCATTATCACCATCATCATCATCATTATTATCATTATCACCATCATCATTCATCATTATTATCATTATCACCATCATCATCATTATTATCATTATCACCATCATCATCATCATTATTATCATTATCACCATCATCATCATCATTATTATCATTATCACCATCATCATCATCATTATTATCATTATCACCATCATCACTCATCATTATTATCATTATCACCATCATCATTCATCATTTATCACCAGTATCATTTTACATTAAAAACATTTCAAATAATTTTCTAAATAACTAAAATGTTTAGTAAAAAGTATACACTTCAAATTTTTTTTAACAAACTCACTTTTATCAAGGCTGCAAGCAACCACTATAATCAGTTAAGTTAGAAGTTATAAAGAAGGTAGAGAAGAAAGTTAAAGAACTAGAAACAGCTGGTTGAAAAGTTAAAAATTCTCAGGAAAATATGAATGCTGAAAAAAAATCCAAACCAATAATGTTCATCGCAAAAAAAAAAAAAAAAAAAAAGTTTTTGAGTATAAAAAATATTCACAATAAAGTATCACTTGAGGAGCACTTGGAACCACAGTAGTATTTAAAAAGAAAAGTAGTGAAAAAAAATTGTAGATAATCAAAATTAATCTGAGATGATTTAAAAGGTAATCTGAGATGTAAATATGAACTTATTAAAACTGTTGCTACTCATTAATTAAGGAATATCAATATATTAGCATTTCAGCAAATTCAAATTGTTTCACCTTCTCAAACCTCATTATTGTTTATTTGGATAGATATTTCAATAATTTGACAAAAAAGATAACAAAACATAATATTTAACAAAACATTAATTTTAAATTAAAAATCATCATTATTTACATAATTATCATTATCATTGTCATCATCATTGTCTTCATAATCACTATCATCGTCATTAATCTGACACTATTCAAGTATTAATCTAAGAGTGAAGTATGGCCACTCATTAATTTAAAAAACTCAACAATATAATATAATATAAATAAAAAACATGATCAAGAATAAAACACTGTGGTATCCCAGAGTGTTTTAGGATACCACAGTGTCCCACTATCTAACTTTTAGGTATCCTAAAGAACTGTCATTAAAGTATGACTTTAATTATGGGATTAGAAAAGTTAAAATTTTAATATTTTTCAAAATCTGTATTGATTGTCAGAAAGTAACTTGTTGGGCTCAACATGAAATACTAGTATTTTGTTAATTAAAGACTCAAAGACTTTTGCTGGTAGTAATAATAAGAAAATTGACTTAGTGAGAAAGGTCAGAGCGATTTTATATCATCTACTTATGCAAAAAAAGGAAGTTGCTATATTTTTAAGTAAAGATGTTTAAAAGTTTGATGTTTAATATTTGTTTTGAGAAAACATTTTTAACAAAAGTTTTGGAAAAATTTACTTATAAAATTTCAAAACTAATATATATACTGATAAAATTTCAAAATTAATATATGTTTGTGATAATATCATTTATAAAATAAACAGATTGGTGACTAAGTTTACTAATTTTAAATTGATGACTAAGTTCACTTGACTAATTTTTAACTTTAGTTCAAAATCTAATAGGCTAAATAAAAAAATTTTAACTAAAAAATAAATATATATTTTTTAAAAAATAAATATACTTTTTTTAATAAAAAATAATTTTAACCTAAATAAAGTTAAAACTAGAGAATTTGAAAATTATAACATTTTTCAGCATGAATGTAAACTTAGACATGCATAAAGTTTTATTTAAACAGTTGTTAAACAGTTTAAAAATATCTGAGAGAGTTCAAGAGAACGCTTTTGCAAGACTGTGACAAAATGTTGTTCAGACTACAAGCTAAAAAAAAACTTAAATGAGAAATAACTTTACCAAAGGAAGCAGAAAGAATGTTTAACAATGGATTAACCTCTCTGTCCGTCTGTCTGGGATCTTAAAAGTGTAAGCATCATGATTAAAGAGGTAAATTAGTAAAGAAGATAAATTAGAGAAAAAAAATATGCAAATATTTTTGTCTTATCCTTGTGAGAGGAAGATCTAAGATTTAGATATTTAGCAGAAGGAAAATGTTAAGTTTGTCTTTGTTGATGACATTATAAAAATAAAATAAAAATTTTCAAAAGCCTCTGGAGCCTAAAATTAAATGCCACATCTAGGTCATAATAAGAAGCAATTAATAAAAAAAACTTTGTAGTACTAATAGATTATTTTACATAGCCCAAGCATTACATGACATCTAACGTTTATTGTTGGTGAAAAGATTTGGTGTCAGCACCTAACTGTCTAACTAAAGTCAGCACCTAACTGCCAACCTTTAAGTGTTTGAGGTGGGAAAAAATTGCTGACCTTATTACTATGTTTTATGATAACCTCTTTGTATCAAATTGTTTTTGTCAACCTGATGCTGACCTCTAACTGTTTAAAGTTGGAAATTTGCCAACATTATTCTTTTTATAATTCCAAGAACTGTATGTATATATATATATATATATATATATATATATATATATATATATATATATACATATATATATATATATACATATATATATGTGTATATAAATATAATATATATATATATATATATATATATATATATATATATATATATATATGTATATATATATACATATATATATATATATATACATATACATATATATATATATATATATATATATATATATATATATATATATATATATATATATGTATATATATATATATATATGTATATTTATATATATACATATATATATATATATATATATATATATATATATATATATATATATATATATATATATATATATATATATATATATATATATATATATATGTATATATATATATATATATATGTATATTTATATATATACATATATATATATATATATATATATATATATATATATATATATGTATATATTAAAGGAGATTATTAAATTTTCTTATATATGTATATATGTATATATGTATATATGTATATATGTATATATGTATATATATATATATATATATATATATATATATATATATATATATATATATATATATATATATATATATATATATATATATATATATATATATAAGATAATTTAAATATCTCTTCAAAATTTCCTATCAAAAATATTTTTGCTTTTTGCTAACATACTAAAATACTATATACAAACAAAATTATTATTTTATGTTTTTTTGAACTTATTTTTATTTATATTTATTTATTTATTTATCATATAATCATTATACTACTTTGTACTCGTAAATTTAATACTTTAATTTTTTTTTAAATATGTTAAAAAAATATTTATTTCACATAAAATACTTACTAGTTACAACTAAAGTTGTAATTGTGGATGAATTTTGTGGAACAACTTCATCTTCTATTAAGTCTGTTGAAAAACAGTCAGTAGCACAATCCATGGTAAAAGAACAAAAGGTGGTAGAATTACTGCATATGGGTCTCAAAATCTATTAAAGAAAGCATAGAAAAGGACTTTCTCAAATGCAAAAACTCTAGATTATGAATTCAAAAAATTTAATTTAAAAAAAAAATTTCTGTGTACAATAAGTTAGTCATTTTAATCTCAGAAATCTAAAAAATAAATTGGAGATAACATATTCAACCCTCGGAATTAGGGTGCCGACCTAACTGCCCACCTGGAAGTGTTTGAGGTCAGCAAAAAATTGCCAACTTTGATTCTATGCTTTATGGGCAGACCTTTGCATCAAATAATTTTTGCCGACCTGATGCCGACCTCAAATAGATTTAGGTCAGCAATAATTTGCTGATCTTATTTTTTCTAATTTCAAGGGTTTACATTATAAATTATTACTTTAACTACATACTCGGTCTCAGGAGAAAAATAATAACATTTTATAAAATTCAATTTAAATCCAATTTTGTTTCATACTGGTTTTTACAAAAACATTAAAAAAATTTTAAAATAAACATTTAATGTATATAGACTTACTGGCCCTTTTTTTTAATAATTAAGTCAATAAAAATATTCTTAACTGCATTTAAAAACAAAACTGAAAATAAAAAATAAAAAAATAAAACAAAATGAAAAAATATAATAAAAACATAAAAAGTATTTAAATTGTTTTTTATAAGCTGTTTTTTTTTTTTTAAGTTTTTTTTTTTTCTTTGTAAGCTCTTCTTTTTTCCTTAAAATAATTATACCTAAATTTTATTAATGTGTGTGTGTAAACATTGCATTTAAAAATTAATTCTTTTAATATAATATATTATAACATCACACAAGTCCTGCAACAGAAAAAACAAACATAGTTAGGGAACATAGTTACAAACATAGTTAGGGAACATAGTTACAAACATAGTTAGGGAACATAGTTACAAACATAGTTAGGGAACATAGTTACAAACAAAACATAGTTAGGGAACATAGTTACAAACATAGTTAGGGAACATAGGGAAATAAGTTTTGATCTGAAGATTTATCTCAATTATTTTTGAACAATTTTTTACTAATTTTAAAGTTGTCTAATTTAAGCATCTTTTAAAGTTTCAACAAGTAAATATCAAACAGGGTAACCATCATAGTACAATAAAAAAAACTTACAGCAATTTCTAAAGTTCCAACATCAGAGACTTTTAATTTCAATTTTGTTAAGCGACCAGAGGTCAAAACAACTTTTTTTAAAATAAAACCTTCTGAAAGGCTGCACAATTTTCCAGAAGAATTATAAATTGAAAACAAATCAAATCCATACGACAACCGAATAATGTCTAAAAAAGATTTGTATATTTAAATTTATTTACATTATATTTGTTTTGAATAAAAAATCATAATGATTTGATGTATGCTTACTAAACTGTTTACAAATTAATACTAGTATTAAAAAAAATAAAAAAATTTTTTACCTGCATTAAAAAATAAGGGTTTTTCCATAGCAATTGAGAGAGTTACACTTATGTTTGTTCCTTGCGTGATAACCAAAAAAAAATTGTAGAAACCATCAACTGAAACAAAAGATGGTATTATGTAAATGCCACCAACTTTTTCATCAATTTGTATCCATCTTGTAGCAATAAAAGGGATTGTGAAGATATTTCCTATTTCTTGTGACCACTGCTGTAAACCAGGTAAAAAAAAATGCCTTTTTACTGTCAAACCATTGACTCTTTGAACTTCGGATGGTAGGTTATTTGATACTGGTCTTACATATGCACTTGACGCATCACCTAAATTCAAAAAACTGTGGTAAAAAAAAGTTATAAAAAATCTAATCTAAAATAAGAAAATAACAAAAACATTTATAGTAAAACAATTAAAATATTTAATTAAATTTAACTACTTTGTTGTTATTTTATAAAATTTTGCTTAAAAGTTTTAAAGCCTATAAAGTTAGTTTTAAAAATATTTATAGTTAATGTACTTAAAAGATAACTAAGCTTCATTTTGCTGTTATAAATATTAATAATCATGAAAAAAAGTTAATAACAATAAAAATAAATTTTAAACCTTAAAAAGAAAAAATATACAAATTTAAAAAGTAAAAAACTCAATAAACTCAATAACTTAGAAAATCATACCTTTTAGAATATTGGTTTGTATTTGAATTTCATCGTCAACAAGTAATACGCCAGGACTAAAAGTTATGTTCCACTCAACAATACCTAATGTGAGCGGCAACACTTCATAGCTGCTTAAAAAGCAATCGGAAGTAGAGTTATCACTTAAACATGTACTTGTCACACAAGGACTATTAAAGTTAGATAAATTTAACTGAGGAAGAGAAGCGTTTCTGCAAAAACATAGTTGTCCTTCAAGATAAAAAGCATAAAAAAAAATTGGTGGATTATATGAGTTGCAAACACTAACACATGAAATATTAGATTCAACATGGTAACCACTAGCTGTTAATTGGAAGTCTGTAGAACTATCATTAGTACAACCTGATAAAACTATAAAAAGAATGTAACAATTTTCAAAAATAAAAATAAGCTATAATAAAATAACCATATGAAGTTTTAAAAAGTAATGAATTGTAAACATAAACTAAAATCTAACTTTAATACAATTTATATGTAGTAATATTTTTATATGTAAATAAAACAATAAAACAAGTAACTTTAAATAATTCTAAACATTAGAATATTCTAAACTTATATTAAAATTTTCATGATAACATTTATATATATATATATATATATATATATATATATATATATATATATATATATATATATATATATATATATATATATATATATATATATATATATATATATATATATATATATATATATATATATATATATATATATATATATATATATATATATATATATA